CAATTAAATGTATAAAAGGAAATTTATTGTTGTACTACTTACAGATATAGTTAGTTCTACTAGACTCATCCGGCTTGGGTTGTCATATCGATTTGCAAAATCACAAATCTTGACAATAACATACTCATCTTCTCATAGCAGTATTGTAACATTTCACGAATTCAGAATTCAAAACAAACAAAATTGATTTTAGAATGTTTATGCAAGTAGAGGAGAAGTAGAAATTTCGGTCCGATACCAACTAATGCAAGATGGATGAGATCAAAACAAGTTTTTGAAATGCTTGTGCGAGAGTTGAAGTAAAAAAAAATAAAGAAAATGTGACTTTGATACTAATTGATGTATGTTGGAGATATTAAAGAGACTAATTTTAAAAGGTTTTAGCGACAGTGGAAGAGAAGCGAGAATCAAGCTCTGATACCAGTTAATACAAGACAAAGGAGATGCAAAGGAAAAATAAATGTGCAACATTCTTAAAAATATACTAAAATCTCTCTTAAATAGAAAGACGTTAAAAAAAGTTCAAGTTTTTCAGTTTTTGCCAACTTAATTAATATTATAAAATACGAAAGTACTGAACCAATTAAGTATAAAATTAAAAAGCTTAAAAAATATTAACTTGATATAGTTTTAAAAAAATTCTCTCCATCATAATTCGTAGTAAAATTTTAACACAAAATATATGTTAAAAAGTGTCTAATTAATTTTAATTGGCATTATAAATCATATTTACCAGATGTATTCCCCAGCCTGCGCCTTTCAATTCTAGAATAGTACACTATCTAAGTTTCACATCCCGTTCAAAATATAATATATAATACTTCAGGGAATGTCAATACTCCATTTCATGTCTTCTACTCAGAAAAAGCAACATCACCTCAAAATGAGGAGCCTACATAAGGATTAATGTAAAAATAATCATGAAAGTGCTTGGCACTTCACACATGCCTTCTTAGAGTTGCTAAAAGTATAGTGAACAGCTTCAGAAATCTGTCTTTCAAGTGCTCTACACGTGATTCAAGCTTGCCATATTTCCTCTGAAAAATTAAAGAAGTAAAAGAATATTGGATATGGATATGTGTGCGTTAATATATATTATGCATTATTTTTAAAAATAATTTAAAATTTTTACCCGAAAATCTATAGGCCAACTCTTACGGTGAAAATATAAACTTCTGTTATAACGTACCAGGTCAGCAATATTATTCAAATAACAAAGTATTCTTCGACCATCATTATCATCTGTCTAAAACAAATTCTTGAACAATGGATCCTTGGTATCCCACCATGGACCTCTCTCGACCCTAATAAGTTCGCGCCACTCGTTATTATGATCATTAAAAGTCTTTATGTTTTTTCCTTTTTGGCATAAGAAGTCACTAGCCACGCATAGAAGCCTCAATGATTTTTCGGGACTCCAAAATAAGGAATGTAATATGTTTTCATTCATTGCAATCCCAAAAACCATTAAAACACAATTGATTTTGTCGGTCAAATTCTATACAAATCAAACAAATTCAAAACCACATCACATATATACCTAGTATCAGTATTTAATTTTATCATCTCCTCAATCACGCTTCTAAACTCATCGTTGTTTGGGAGTCCAATCTAATATTCCCTTTGACCTTCTAGGATATCTTTTTGAAGCAACTTCCCTTCCCAATCAAGTGGTTCTGAATAAAAACTTATGAAAGCAAACAACCTAAGTTGAACACATCAAAATTAGAATCTTGTGCTGTTAAATCCGGCTCTTATTGAGCAAGGTCACGCCATGTCGAAGGCAGCGTTAGTTCCCTAAATTGCTTAGGAGCTCGTCACATATAGCCTAGCCCATCACTCCTTCATATAACTGTTTGTATCATAAAAGTATCTTAATTATTAGTCAATGCAATTAAATGTATAAAAGGAAATTTATTGTTGTACTACTTACAGATATAGTTAGTTCTACTAGACTCATCCGGCTTGGGTTGAAGCTTTGTTAAGCAAACGAAATTTTATAATTAGAATCGAATATATTATTATAGAAGCAAGAAGATGACAACTCATTAAAAGAACATTAAAGCTTTGTTAAGCAACTGAAGTTAAGGAATTTAAAAAAAGATTACGTGCATTTAGAAATTCATTGTCGCATTTTGATATTTAGTAGTCTAACAATTAAAGTTAGAAAATTTACAAGAAGAATTTGTACATTTACAAATTGATGAATATAGAAATTTGATCTCATAAAAAAAAAAAAGAAATTTGATATTTAAGAGTGTTACAATTTAAGTTAGACAATTTATAAGAAGAATTAATACATTTACAACTTAATTGTAACAATTTCATATTTTGCCCTCTAATAAGTGAAGTTAGGAAATTTACAATAGTGTATTTATAAGTTTAGGGTTTATGTAAAAAAATGAAATTGAATACTATGGATTTTAATGTGTTGTTTAGTATACTTACTAATGACATAATATTTATCGTTTTAAGATTTAAGAAGATAGTAAAAAAGGATGTAGAAGTTATTGGATGCATACAAGATATTTAAGACTAAATTTGGATAATATCACAAATAATAAACATGTGAGATGAAAACAACTACGAGAGTTACCTTGTAAGAGTGGGACAAAATAGCAAATGTTGATAAGGAGTTAACATAAGGGGGAAAAAAGAGGACGAGTCCACTCAAGAGAGTGATAGAAATGAATTTAGAGAAAATTAGGGAGAAGGACCTAAAAAATTAGTATTTATTAAGAGGGATCTTAAAAATTGTAATTAATTTGAAAGACCAAAAATTAAAATAAAATTTTACAATTACCAAATTATCCCTTATCAAATCCCTATATTATCTCCAACACCCTCCTATCTCAATTTGACAGTTAATTATCAATTGAACTTGATTTCTCTATTTCTCTCTCTCTCTGTATCTCTTTTTGATGCACCCAAAGTTTTTATCAATAGCAATTGTCTTCTTATAAATCCAAAACAAAGAAGACAAATTAAAAGGAATCAACTAGCAGACTATTTATTGGACGGTATGTATATTCTGAACATTATTTTCCCTCTTTTAATTTATTTGTACTGAATATTTTCTAATTTTCTCATCGCCTCTATATAAAGACTTTTTGGATGAATATAAAAGTATATAGTTGTGCCTTCATTCAATCCCAACTATACATACATATGAATACAATCACACTACCTATACAAAGCTTCTTAGATGAATATAAATATAGTTCCTTGTGTTAACCAAAATATGAAAATAAGTAAATAGTACCTCTTCGTAACCTAAGCTTTACTAATAATTTTTCCAACCACATCGGAATGAGGGGCAAAATCGCAGTTGTGCAAGCTAGAAATTCCAACTATATTGGAATAAAAGGCTAGTAGATACAAATATGAATGACTGAAAAATAAGACTCTATTTTTTGTTAATTGCTCTATTTAGTTTTTAATTTTAATGAGGGGCAATTTAGTAATTATAAATTTATATTTCAATTGATAACTGATAGTCAAATATTGATATTGATCTTGGAGATAATATAGGAATTTGAGAATAATTTCGTAATTGTAAATTTATATTTAAATTTTTAGTCCTTCAAATTAATTATAATTTTTAAGATCCCTCTCCAAAAATAGGTCCTTCTCAATTTTTCCTTGAATTTACCATATGACAGGAGTTGAATTTTAATAGATGGTCGTGCGACTTGGCTGTCGTTTTTAATTTTTCATGTACATATACACTCAGATATGTGCTCTTATTTCAGCTGTGATGAAGATATGTATTTTTTTTTATGTTAGTTTAATATAATTAAATATTTAAATTACTTTTGTAGTTTTGTATTTTGTTGACTAATTATCATTTATGAATATTGTTTTATTCTTTTATTATAAATGACCAAACTCTTGTGTTGACTACCGTCCCACTATCTGCACTGATTCAATATCCAATCAACTTTTTTAACTGATTAAAGGTGTGTTTGGATAGAAACCAAACCATGATTTCAGAAATGTTTTTACGAATTACGAAGTAAATATGTGGAGGAGATTATCTCGTTTTACGGAAAAGTAATTCTGAAACCACAGTTTTGGGATACCCAAACAAGTCCTAAGTTTTCAACAGGAGGACCATGTCATATCTAACATCAGAGAAAAAAATGCCAATAAGATCTCAACATATTATAAATATCTTCAATTCAACTCAGATAGATAGATATAAAACCTTAGCATGAGAACCATTATAAAACCATAGAAAATCCCAAGTACCTTGAAAAAAAGATCAACAATGCAAAATGAGTTGAGCCTTAATTAAAATTGACTATTTACAAAAGGACTTTGCAATCACTTTTGCCTCAAGTTTTCCATAATGCATCTCCATGATGCCTATATGATCTTCATACGAAATGCATCTTCAACATCACACTCAAGAACAGTTGTCTTCCTCTTGTGAAGATATTAAAAAAAAAAGAAAAAGAAATCCTTAACACTAAAAATGTGGAGATCAATAATACCCACAATGCGTTCATATATGTGGAGAAACCAAGTATAGCATTTTGTTTAGCCAAAGTAACTCAAACCCTAACAGTAGATCTCAGCATATCATCATTATCTTCAATCCCTTTTCGGAACTCAGATAGATAACGCAGTTTCATTGTAGCATCATGGATCCATAGTAAATGAAAGCTGAGTACATTTAAGCATAAACCGATACAGAGAAAGATCGATAAATAGACGGTAGTAGTCCGTATAACTATATATGTTAATAGAGATAGAAACACTGGGAAAATTCAAATAATCTTATGACAGATAATCTGCAAAAGCTTAGCTTTTTAGAGTAATGTTTTACAAATGAAATGGCATCTCAGAATGATCATTCCCCATAAGATTCTTCACTGGCAATCAAAGTGCAAGGATAACAATTTAGAGTATTCATCACTGATGCTCGTAAAACAAAATTCCAAAGTTCATACGCCAATAAAATGTGGAGAGATGGCCAGAAAACATTTGAGAGAAACATTAAAACGAGGTTGACATTTAGCCGAGGGTTCCAGATGCACCAAAAATCAAAACATTCTGGGCATCCTACGATTCGGCTATTAAATCTGCGAAGGGCTTTGAAATAAATAGTTAGAGGAGCCTCACTGTAAGAGTAATTCGCTCCCCTGCTGGGACCTTCGCATCAAGAAAAATAGAGATTTGCATAAAAATGTGCGAAAATCAGACACGAACATTAACCTCACCAACGAATCAGGGAATTGGTGAGCGATCAGATTTCGGTGCTATTTCCGAAGGCAAACTTGGATAAAAGCACACTGAATCATAGCGCCTCCTCCATAGGTCCTTCGTTGATAAAAATGAGAAAAAGGTAATACTAAACAGATCGACGCTCAGTGAATACGAACCATATGTAAAGAATCATCTTCATCTTGCCTGATCGCCACGAAAACGACCAAGTAATCAATGGTTTACTTCTTCATCACATCTAAAACTTTTTCCGGAATTGAAATTGAACCAAGACAACTAAATCAAAGAGAAAGCCGCAAGGCCGGCGATGAATGATTCGAAACCCTAACTACCAGAACGCTAGGAGGCGGCCAGTGGACTCCTTATATAAAGGTGGATTTTTGGGCCTGGTCCGTCTCCCCACTTGTTTCCCTTCTTTCTTCTGGTTTTCTGTTTTTTTTTTTTTCAAAGTATTTTATAAAATTATTATTTTATATAAAATATATATAAACAAATTTAAATCACTAAAATTTAATATGAATAATTCAAACTGCGTGAAAAAATAGAAAAAATATTACTTTTTAAAACATCTTAATAACAGTCTACATTCAATTCCTAAATTCTTAACTAGACCAGTCACATGACTAGTTCATTAATCTAATAAGTAATAACATAATTCATGTTGAATTTTGAGTAAAATACACCGAACATCTTTTTATTTTATCTCAAGTATAAAAACTTTTTTTTATTTTGAAAACGTATATAAACCTCCTTTACAATTAAAATATATGTTACACAAATCTCCTTCTTATATTTAGTATTTAATTTCTATCCACTCAAACCATTAGTTGACCGTTAAGTTTAATTTTAAATTATTTTTCCATCAAAATACCCCTTTTTAACTTAATAATTATTTAGACATTTATATTTTCTAAAAAATATTTTTTATAAAATAAAAAATAATTCTAATATGTATATTTTTAAAATTTCTAATATGGTATAAAATCTATTACTTTTAATCTAAATCATAAAATTTTATAATTTTAATATTTTATGGCATTCATTATAAATTATTTACTTTGATTTCTTTTAAATTATTTACTTTGAATCCTCATTAAAAAATGTATTCATACCGATAATACCTCAAATAAAAAAAAATACATATATTTTATTTTTAAAAAAAAACACAACGTCTCTGCAAATTTCTTCGGGAATAAAAGAAGAGGGAGGGGGGGATGAAAGATCAGACGTCAACTTGAAAGCTTCCTTGGCGACAATGTCTGCGGTCTGCCAACAAATCCAGCGTTCTTATTATGCATTCTTATAATCATTTTTTCCAACAAAATTCCATCATTTTTTCTAACGTATTATAATATTCGTCAAAACCTTAACTGCCTACCAAAATGGTTTTGTAAACAGAATTTAATGAGAAAAATAATTATCCAAAGGAGACTCTATTGAACCGAAACATTTGCAAGTGAATATGTTGGGGACTAGAAAAATCTATTCCTCTATCGTTTGGCCGGGAGATTGATGCAGAAGAAGAACTTGTGCTTTTTTTGAGATTGATAAAATTGTTTTGGAGATAGAATTTCAATTGACTCAATAATTTATCAAATAATTTAAGAAAAATAATTTTTCTCTTAAACTAAACTTGATAAATATTGAGTCAGTCAAAACTCATCCCCAGTTCGACTATGCTGTGGGTGGCAAAACAATTCAACTACGGTGGGATTTGTGATTTCACAAAGTGACCTTGCCTATTTATATACAAAAACACATTAATCAGAATTAATGTTTTGGATTTTCAGAATCCATTTCATTTGAACCTTACTTTGTGGAATCACAAGTCCCAACATAGGTAATTTTTTTTTTGGGCCATCCACAGTATAGTTGAATTGGAGATAAATTTTGATCGACTCAATATTTTCCAAGTTTAGTTTAAGAACAATTGTTTTTCTTAAGTTGTTTGATAAATTATTAAGCATATTGAAATTTTATCTCTAAAAAGAAAGTATCAAAGCCTTTTTCAATATATAAGATATCAACAATCTCAAAAGAAAGCACCAAATTTATCCTCCCTTGTGTAGCCGAAAAAGTTTCCCATACCTTAATATATAAATGTTTGTTAATAGTATTGTATAGTTTAATATTCTTATTTTTAATGACTTTGGGATTTAAAATTTTCCAAAAAAGAAAAAGAAAAAAATATAGGATGCCCAATAACTAGGACAAGAAATTTTTCCAATCATATTAAGTTATAAGACTTAAAAAATTCAATTTAGAATATAACGCTTTAATGTTGTTAAAAAAGAATATAGAACTTTAATTGACTCCATAGCTTATCAAATATGACTCTATTTTTATATATAAGTTAATTGTAATTCATTCTCACATATCAAAAAATACATTAAATTAATAAAATTATCCATACTTGCCTCTATTAAAGCAAGAGTCATTGGTTATCTTACGAGTGTTTTATATTTAAGAAGAAATTTTTCTACCACATGTGACTTGTGTATTGCAACATGGTGATTTTTTTTTTTTTTGAAAAAAGTAAAAAAAACTTAGTGACTCATCAACTTAACTTCATAAATCTTGAGTCAACTAAAATTAAGTTCCGATCTAACTTCTTTTATCACAAGTCACAAGTAACATTGGCTACCCAGACAAATATATGATAAAGGTAATCAATGCACTTAAGTAAATAAATTAAGTCTTATATAACCATTATAGATCTCGTGAGCTTATAATACATCTTTTTTTTCACTAGTCAAAGTTTTTCCCCCCTAAATTATACAAAATCTCCTGAATTTTGAATCAATTATGCAAAAGCTTCTTGAGTCTCTATAGCTAATTGGATCAGGGCAAGTTTTAAGCTAGATAGATTTTATAAAGCTATTTATAAAATATTATTTCTGATTCTAATTATAAGATCTTATTTATAGATTATAAATGAGGTTTTATAATTAGGACCGTAAATAATACCTATCAATAAGTCCTCATGTTGATAGCTAAGTCTGAACTTAGACCCATACTTATGAGAGTCACATCATTAGCCATAATTTTCATTGGCTGGTCAAATTAAAATAATATTCATTATAATCTTAATATAAATCATTAATTAACTATGAGACTTAGTTTCTTTCCTTAATCAGATTTAGTATTAAAGGAAAAGGATTATGAAAATCCAAAACATTACTTATCATTGTTGTGTATTTATAAATAAGCAATAATGTTACTTTTGAAATCACAACATAATTGAATTGAAAATAAATTTTGATTGACTCAATATTTATCAAGTTTAGTTTAAGAATAACTATTTTTCTTAAATTATTGAGTCAATTGAAATTTTATCTCTGTTTAATTAGTCTGAAATTATTTCCAAACGGTTTGAAACATCTTTGAAATGTTTCTAGTAAAATTTAATTAACTAAAATTATTACTTAGGATAAAGAACCATCAAAACAATTGTTGCTCTTCATTTTTTTTACCTCTAACTTTTAGCTTCATAAGCAAGTCGTAACTTTTGAATTTTACTACGAATTATGATAGAAGAAATTTTTTAAGGATCTATTTGGTTAATATTTTTTTTCAGTTTTTTAATTTAATACTTAACTAGTTCATTACTTTCATATTTTATAATATAAATTAATTAAATTGGCAAAAAATAAAAAGTTTGAATCTTTTTAAATATCTTTCTATTTAAGAAAAAAATTTTAGTATATCTTTAAGAATATTATAGATTTATTTTTTGGGAGAATTAAGCCAAAGGACCTGTAGAGAAAAATATTTAGTAAGAAGAACCATAAAATTAGAATTATTTAAAAAAACCAACTGTTCAAATATAGATTTTAAAATACCAAATTACCTTTTCCACTTTATTTGTTGCCTTTGTGATTCTTCTGATTTTGTTTACATTTAAGAATAAAAAAAGAGTAAAATATATCAATATCCTTTCTATTTAAATTACAGAGATCTCATTTTTGTTTTGAAAATCTATATGAATATCCTTAAAATTAAAATATATATTGCACAAGCCTTCTTTCTAATTTTGAGATTTAACTTTTATTCATAACCATTACATTACAGTGTTGACTTATTAAATCATGGTGTTGACTTTTTGTTTAATTTCATTTATTTATTAAAACTTGCTTGTGAAAATATTTTAAATATATATGCGTTGGCTAAAAATATTTTACAATTGTATATATTTATTTTTAATTAAATTATAAAATTATAAAAATTCATTGACTAAAATAATATTTAAAGGAACTCACTAACCATCAATTTTTGAAATATCATATGAGAGAATATAAGAAGATTAGTTGTAGACAATTTTGTCTTTCTAAAATTATATTTTAATATATGGCCCTTTAAAATAATTCTAATTTTTACAATCCTCTGCATTAAATATTTTTTTCTATAAGTCTTTTGTTCTCATTTTTTCTTTTTTCTTTTTACATTTTTTTCTTGCATAAATTGATATCAGGGGTTAATTCTCGTTTCTTTTTTTAATTTTGTTAAAATCTTTCAAAATTAATTTTTTTAATATCCCCAACATACCTCAATTAGTATTAAAGCTATATTTTTTTTTTTTACTTTCGTATAAACCTTTCAAAAACTGTTTTGACCTCCCACATCCTAGATTAACTGGTATCAGAGTCAAATTTCTACCAATCTTCTACTTGAATAAATTCATGTATTTTTATTGTATAAAATATCACTGATAAAATAAATTGTGTTTTAATGATTTTTAACATTACAATGAATGAAAGCATATTACATCCTTTATTCTAGATTCTTGAAAAAATATTGAAATTTTCATGTATGACTAATGACTTCTTGAGCTTTTAATGATCTTAATAGGGTCGAGAGAAGTCTATGATGGGATATCATGGATCCATTGTTCAAAAATACGTTTTGGACAGATTATGATAATGGTCAAGGAAGACTTTGTTATTTAAACAATATTGCTAACCTGGTTCGTTATAATAAAAGTTTATATTTTCATCTTGAGAGTTGATGTATAGATTTTTCAAAGAAAAATTTTAAATCTTTTTAAAAGTAATTAATAATATATATTAATATATACACACACACATATATATCCACATTTGATATTCTTTTACTTTCTTAATTTTTCAGAAAAAATATGACAAGTTTCACTCATATGTAGAATATTTGAAACACAGATTTCTGAAACTATTCACTATACTTATAGTAACTCTAATAGGGCATGTGTGAAATGCCAAGCAGTTTCATGACTATATTTATATTAATCCTCATATAGGCCTCTCATTTTGAGGTGATGTTGCTTTTGTGTAGAAGACGTGGAAGGAAGCATTGATACTCCCTAAAACATCATATATTATATTTAGAATAGGATATGAAACTTAGATAGTGTACTACTCTAGGATTAAAAAGGAAAAGTTAAGAAATATGTATGATAAATGTGATTTATAATGCAAATTGAAATTAATTAGACTCTATTTGAATTCTATAAATGGTGGATTATTTAGTATCATCATGGTAGTGATCTCTTTAAGACGTAAAGTTTAGAATTCTAGAAAATAAAAAAGATTGCTTGCTGTTTTTCTAAGTTTTGTTTGATACTAGCTGAGGAATTGTTAATGATTATACACCATTTTGATTTTTCGTTTTACATAAATTGATATCAGAGTCTAATTTTCGCTTCTCTTCTACTCTTGTTGGAACCTTTCAAAATCAATCTCTTTAATATTCCTAACATATATCAATTGGCATTAAAACCATATTTCCTATCTTTTTTATTTTCGCATAAACTTTTCAAAAACTGTTTTGACCTCCCCTATCCTGTATTAACTGATATCACAGCCAAGTTTTTACCTATTCTTTACTTACATAAATCTATGTATTTTTATTATATAGAATTTCACTGATAAAATAAATTGTGTTTTAATGATTTTAGGATTACAATGAATGAAGATATATTGTATCTTTTATTCTAAATTCCTGAAAGAGCATTGAGACTTTCATGCATGGCTAGTGATTTCTTGAGCCAAATAGGAAGAAATATAAAGGCTTTTAATGATCTTAATAACGAATAGCGTGAACTTATTGGAGCGAGAGAAGTCCATGATGGGATACCGTGGATCCATTGTTTAAAAATTCATTTTGGATAGATGACGATGATAGTGGAGGAAGACTTTGTTATTTGAACAATACTGCAGACCTAGTTCGTTGTAATAAAAATTTATATTTTCATCTTGAGAGTTGGCCTGTAGGTTTTCAGGTAAAAATTTTAAATTTTTTTTAAAAGTAATTGATAACATATATTAACACACAGATATATGTCCACATTTAATATTTTTTTTTACTTTTTTAATTTTTCAGAGAAAATATGACAAGCTTTCACCACCTTGTTCAGCATATAAGATGTCATCAATCTCTAACCCAAATAACAAACAAACATATTATTTTTAATCTCTAATATATTCTCTTACAAATGTTTTGGTGTTGAATAGAGTTAACTTTAGATGAGATTTTCTCATAAATTTTGTTTATTACAGATTTACAGTACCATTTTGGTGGTAACTTAAGATTTTGATGAAGTTTATCTTTATCTATTCAAAAAAATTCTCATAACTTAATATATAAATGTTTGTTAATGTCATTGTGTTGTATAGTTTTCTTCTTTTCAATGAGTTTGGAATTTAAATTTCAAACAAAAATGTAAATAAATAGAGTATACATAGTAATATTAAGGTACAAGACTATGGAAGTTTTATTTTACAAGATAAAATTTTAATGTTGATAAAATAAATAAATAATTTTAATTGACTCAATGCATGATTAACCAAATATTTTAAAAAATTAATGATTCTTCATCTTGAATTCATAAATAATGAGTCAATTAAAATTTACCTCCAATCTTATTTGATCCCACAACGAACATTCCCCGCCAAAAAAAAAACACCACACAAATGCATGATAAAGGTAATTAATGTTTTGGATTTTCAAAATCCTTTCCATTTGAATTCAAATCAACACACATAAATAAAGCTAATTAATGTTTTGGATTTTAAAAATCCTTTCCATTTAAATTCAAGTCAATGCACATAAACAAAGGTAATTAATTTTTGGGATTTTGAAAAATCCTTCCCATTTGAATTCAAATCAATGCACATTAAAAAAGGAAATTAATGTTTTGGATTTTCATGATCCTTTCCATTTGAACTCAAATCAATGCATAAATAAATTAAGTCTCATATATTACAATTAGTTCTCTTGATCTTATTATAGTACATCTTATTACTTTTTACTAGCCAGAGCTTTTTTTTTTTTTTGGCATCGTACTAGCCAGAGCTTTTGATTGGTTTGAAGACTGAAGTTGTGAACCAATATTGATGAACTCATTATTAATGAATTTAAATTAAAGAATCATTATTTTTCACAAAGTTATCTGGTCGACCATTCTTTGAGTCAATTAAAATTATATATTATTTTTTCATCAACAATGAAATTCTATATTCTAAAATGAAACTTTCAAAGCCTCATAACTTAATATTGTTGGAAAAATTAATGTTTTGTACTAGTTTTTGGACATCCTATATTTTTCTGGTTTTCTTAAAATTTTAAACCCCAAATTCATTAAAAAGAAGAAAATTAAACTATACAGTAACATTACCAAACATTTATCTATTAAGGTCTGAGAATTTTTTTGGCCACATATTGGTGGATAAATTTCATCAAAACCTCAAGTGACTACCGAAATGAATTTAATGGAAAAAAATATGATCCCAGGGTAACTCTATTCAACATGAAATTGAAAACATTTGCAACAGATCGAGATTAATTGTTGAGAAACACCTTTTCAAATAGGAGCCGGGGTTAAGCTGCAAGCCAAAGGAGATGTTGAAAAACGGCGCAGTTAAATGCAGAACATCATCATAAAGTATCAGAGGAAAGGAAAGAGAAGGGCAAAAGGGGAAAAAAGACAAAAGTGAATGAAAACATAAAAAAGGGCATGATAATCTTATCTGTAGAATGAAAATGATTCCCCTCTTGAGATGAATCCTCATCACTAGCCTTCATTCCTTCAATTGTGCATGTTGCCATGGAGGTTATTTTTTTTATTATCATTATTTTTTCTATAAAACAGTTTAGTTGAGTTGAGTATTGGGGGTTCACCAAGTCAGATATACCTCTAGACTTAAAGAATGCTTACAGAAGTATTTACAGATCGCCTATCAACAAGATTCTCATATTGATAGTGGGATTCAAACTCATGATCTTATGAGTAATGAGCTAACTCCATATTAACTAGACCGTAATGTCATTGCAAGATATAATTTCCAAGGAAGAATAATAAAAGGAGCCCATCTTCAATGACATCTTTGGCAACTTGCTAATCTAGGGATAGGGCTAAAAAAAATACGATTGCAGGCAAGGCTAATGGCCAACTTGTGGTCTGGTATGGGAATAGGCTCGGGCCAAGCAAGGTGGCCCATGGTTTGGTCTAACCCGACCTTAACCTAACATTAGACCAGATCAGGTTTGGTCTCTCGGGTTGGCGATTGGTCTACTAGACTGCATGACTTTTTTTTTTTTTTCCCAAGTTTGGATTTGCTGCACCTAATTCGTGAAGCAAAAACAAAGTAAATACAAGCCTATGTTCTGTTGTAACACCTAAACAACAAATCAAGAGAATGAAGAAACTATATCTCCTTCAACACATAAAGAATTGATTGAGGAGAATGAAGCATTAAACATATAAACAACAAATTAGGGATAAGGGAGAAAGAATAGGCATTTATTGATGGCGAGAATGAAGAAGAAGCACAGATCTAAATGCTAGGAGGCATTTGGACTTCAAGGCTTGTAAATAGTTTTGACATTCCCTCTTCAGATTTTGGAAGAATCTCAAAAACTAGGAACGCAAAGGAAGTAGCTATGAAGATTGTGAGAGTCTAAGAGAGGTCTTTGAAGTTGTAGAGTGAAGAAGCGATAGATGGATTAGAGAAGGAGAGGGCATATGATGGAAGAGGTGAGTGAGAAGGAGGAGGTGAGAAGGAAGTGCCGTTAGGGTTAGGAAACAAGGAAGGATAGGGTTTTGGTAAAAGGGTAATATAATTTTCTTTAAATAATAAATGTGCCTAAGAACTAATCTAACTCGATGACCAACCCGATTTGGTCAAACTTTTTTTTATTTGTTACTTTTTTTAGGGTTAAAGTGGATTAGGTTTTGTTAAGTTGGATTAGATAGGATTGGGTTTCGGGTTTTACAAACAGCCCTATCTTGGAACAAGAATCAAAATTAAAATGGAGAAAAGAAAGAAGAAAGGCAAACAAGGCAGGCTACAAAAAAAAAAGGAAAAGGAATCCTTAGAAGTGGAGGAGCGTGCTTGAGGTTAGACTTGATTGGATTTTGTCGAGCAACATATTGATCACATCGATTGTGGTTAAACTCACATTCATTGAACGTTAAGGCAATCACAATCACAACTAAAGATGCGTTTTTGAATGTTCGGCAATAGAATGTTTAAGATGTAATTAATGAGAGTTTAATGAGAAAATATTTAGATGATAAAATGATGGGTAATGTTCACATTTCACAATGAAGGTTGGGTAAGTAGAACAATGAAAAATAAAAGTAAATAAGGCAAAAAATTAGAGGATAAAAGAGATTTACTTCAAAACTTAGAGATAGGGCTGCACAATGGACAGACTGGACTAGACCAGAGCCCAACCCCAAGTCTAGTCTGATTTTTTGGTTGGATTGGGTTTGATAGTCTGTGGTCTGGTCTAGTCTAGTGACGACCCGAGGTCGGGTTGGACTGGACTTGGTCTGCCGGACTGGTGGACTGGTCCAGGCAGTCCAGTTGTCCAATTTTCTTTTTTTTTTTTAAATTTTTTTCTTTATGAGAAATAAGATTTCAACATGATAAGTACAATTAAGATAATAAAAAATACCTATAATCATATGAAACTCGTCCTAAAATATTAAGACTTTATCATAAATACATAAAAATATCTAAAAACATTAAAAACAATTAAAGGCACCATCTAAATTACAATTTATTGAAAAATAAAAAATTCACCTAGACTGGACTGGACCAGTCTAAGTGATATGATCACTTGGTCTGAAACCCAGTCCAGCCTGACCAACTAGTCTGGTCTAGTCTAGTCTAATTTCATTATATAGTTAATTTGGACTGGATTGGACCGGACAAGACTACTTCGGGTTGGACTAGACTGGACTGGACCACTGAGTTTTTACACACCCCTACTTAGAGAGCGGTGTATCTAGACCTTCTGCAAACTTCGCCTTATGTAGGTCATATATACTAGAGATGTTAGGTAGTGAATTAATCACATTAAAAATTAAACTCACATTCTTTGAACATTAAGGCAACCATAATCACAATGAGGTGGTAACCGATGACGGGCAATGTTCTAATTCCACAATAAGGCTATTAAAAGTAAGATTTCTTGATAAGCTCATTTATACAAAATTAATTTTGAATTTTTCACAAAAAAAAGGTCTAAAAAAAATATACTTAGTTAGCATATGACTTGTGTGGGGGATCATCGACTTTCAACTGGGTTTGCTTCAGGGAGCTTGTTGTTGTGTGTGTGAGCCTATTCCTTATCTTGGCCCATTTACTAGTCCAATATCACATGTTATTATATACGTGCACTTGAACTCTTTCTCCAAAGCAATGCTGGACTCTTCATTTGACGCACTTACACATAATATTCACAACAATCCCTCGTATGTCAAAAGAAATACCATCAATTAAGTTACACAATATTCACAATGATCTTGACCGATGAATAATTTTTCTTTTCCAGACGTGGTTCAAATTTCCTGGCTAGATGCCTTATTAGGTCCACCCTAGCAACATATATATACCTAATTGGATCCCATATCATCAATAACTAACAGATTTTTTAATGCCATTAGTCCTTATTCAACCGTTTTATGCTTTAAGGACTAATGGATCTGAGGAAAAAAAAACATATAAGACCCAATAAAAAAGACGTAAAAACCTAATGAAATCAGAAGTAGGAAAAACTATAAGGAGGGAGATATTGGTTTTCCCTTTAAACAACATGGCCCTTTAACTTAATAGTATTATTGGAATTTGGTTTTATCCTGAATAATTATTTGTACCCTATCCCCCCAAAAATCAGATCTTCTAATACTCCTTTGGTCCTTAATATAGGACCTAATTTTTGAGTTGATTTTGATCCTAAATATAAAACCCATTTCTCATATTTATTAATTTTCTCTAAATTACCCCTATAGATACTCCATTAACCATAATCAAATAGAAGAGGGAGAGGGGGTATTAAGAAAGATGATTATGATGTTTTAGGAAAAATGTGTCACTTTTCTTATAATTAACTAACATACCTAACTTTTTTAATATAATCAAATTAGTTAAATGAGTCATATATTAAGGATCGAGAGAGTACAAGATATCCCAATTTCGTCGTCTGATAGAAGAAAAGCGGACCACATAATAACAAAGAACAAGATTCCCATTATTACCAAGGTATGAGACTTTTTTGGTCAAATGGAAGATAAACTTCATTATAACAACAAATTGTCTCATGGAACGGCTTTGTAACAAAATTTAAGGAAACAAACTAATCCAAAAGCAAATTAGCTACCACTTGCTCATTTTTTCTGGACTTTGTTTTATTTGGGCTAGCTAGAGATTGATTGAAGTAGAAGAAAAAACTAGTGCTTGCTTTTTGTGACCCCTGATATCCTAAGATGAACTTGTTCCCCCCGGGGGGGTCCTAACCCAAGTAGGATGACATTTTCATTAAGATGAAGTACAAAGCTCAAAATAGATTGAAGTAGAAGGCTAATAAGCTTAAAACAGATCAAAAGCATAAACCTTAATCCTATTACAAGACTAACGAAATAGAAAGTTGCTATCGTTAGCATTGAGAGGACGTATAAAAGCAAAGTACATTCACAAAAAACAACCAAACATACAGTAACCGAGCAATACAGTACTTAATATAAGAGTTAGTTCGATATTTAATTTGTTCTAAATATAATGTCCCAATTTATTTTGTTTTTTATATTTATTTATTTATTTAAGTTTCATCAAATGATAATTTTAATTAACACACATTATTAGCAAGTATATTTTAAGAAAAATAACACCTATTTATTATAAATAACTAACTTAACTAATTTTTTAAATATATTTAAATTAATCAACTAATTTTTATATTAAGTATTATGAAAATTTGTCAAATCGGATCAATAGCCATGCCATCACCAGAACAATAGCAGCCATCCCTTTATTGTCCGAATAACGAAAAAAAAAAAAACCGAATTTCACAAATATTGTCACTTAACTTCTGGTAACGAAAAAATAACGCACTTTAAGTTGTACTCTCCACTTCCACGTCATTTTGTTTTTCCTATTAGAGCTCCTGCACGTATCAGGTGACGTGGCTAATTTTTATTAGAGGAAAAATTAATTCATAAGAAACTAAAATTAAATTTCATTCCAACGAAAATCAGAGACGTTTCTTCTTCTTCCTTCCCCAAATCTCAGATCTACGGAATTGCTCTTCCAACTTCAAAAGATTCACTCGTTCGACGCGCAAACACTGTTATACAAATTCAATCCCGAAAATTTAAAAAGCTTTTCGGAGTAAATTTTTTTCTTGGATCGTTTTCCGAGGCATTTCGTAGAAGATTTTATCATCTCCTGCAAATTCCAGAGGGGCTTGTGCCGACACTTCTATTTATATTTGGTAGTCGGATTGGATATTGAGAGCTTGAATCATGTGGGGCAATATTGCGAATTTGAAGGAGAACTTGAACAAGATCGCTCTTGATGTTCATCAAGATGACGATGACGACGGGGATGAGGTCGAGAGTTATGGCAGGCCCAATGGAGTCGATTCTCCCATCTCCGATCGGCGGAATTCTCACCGTTTTGCACATTCGAAATTGGGTCCAAGGTCACCGCTCTCAAACGGGATGGATGATCCTGCCGCGTTTAGTTCTGAGGTGCCACTTCTTTCTTGGTTTCTTTCTTGAGCTTGTATTCTATTGAATACTTTATAAAAGATTGGCTAATGTTTATACTTTTTGGATCTCTTTGGCGCTTGCCCGATTTAAGTTGGATGAATATGCTGGAGTCAGTCTATTGAACATTGGGGTTTTAGTCATTTTCCCCTTTGCTTGCTATAATCTGTTTATGGAAAGCATTGGATATGTTTTTGAATGCTGACTAGGTTTCGGAACCGGAACATCTTATCAAGAAAGAAATCAAGACGCTCATTGATGATTTCGTTGGGCCTCCGCTGCTTCGTCAGACTACAACATTCGACTGGGGATGAAATGGATGTAGGGTGTTCTCGAATGACGTGTTTTCGAATTGAAACCGGCGCACTTTAATTATTCATTTATGTTTGGAGTTTGTTGGTGGTCAATCTGGCTCACTGATTCATTCCCCATTGTTGCTTGAGAAGTAGGAGCCGTAGTGGCAAATAACAGATCATTATGTTTCATAGATGTCTTGTATGACTTCGTTCCTGTGTAGAGGGTCGGCGGGTGCATATGTAAATAAAATATGAAAAAACAAAAAAAGATCGATGAAGTTATGAACTTATTCTTATGAATTCAGTTGGTCATATTCATGCTAATGAGTAGGTGATTAATGTTTACTGATCATCAAGTCTCACTTAGGTTTTACTAAGTTTTAGGCCGACTTATTTTGATTTTGTCTATTATTATCCCAACTTATAAATTATAAATTATAAATTAGCTTTATTATTATATTTTATTTTGGTTTGGAGTGAATAAGGTTGAGAGTTTTGCTTCAAAATTGGTTCTCCTTTATATGCAGAATAGCTACCACTTTACTATTAGGATCGACTGTGAAAGTAAATTGTCCATGATAGCATGAACTGATTGATCAGTGTCACATTTTCTTCAGTAGATGTAACCATTTAGGCATAACATTCTGTTAAAATCCTATTACTTATTTGGAGAACTGGTGGAGAGTAATCTTGAAGAGAATGCATTTCGGAAAAATTAATTCAAAATGTGAGTTTTATATTGGGAGTCCATTCACTTCCAATCATAATTGTTTGCAATGAACTTATGTTGGGAAAGTGTTCAGGTAGTCACTTATGGCTGTGAAATTATTAAATATTAAATAAACCAATGCATTGTGTTTCCAAATATATATAATTTAATGATGGAAAATAGGTAAAATTACACATTGTTTAAAATGTTAGAGGTTTTGCATTTCTATTTAGTGTTAGCTATCATAATATTGTTTTTAGTTTATCTGAGTTAGTTTTACAGTAAAACCAACTATCAGTATAAACTAAAACACAGATCTCTCCCTTTAGATCTGAAGTTCTGCGTTATGTGATTATTATATTTTAAATCATTGCTGTTAAAAAGTCAAACTAAGTATAGTTGCTTTTATTCTAGGAGTTTATAAAGGAAGAAGTGAACTAAGTATATGGGGGATCAAAGAACACTCTGGATTCTGAATTCCCAAATTGCCTGTCAAGAAGAAATGGCTTTGCTTGTTTTTCCGCAAATTTGCTCATTTACCAACAAAAAGCAGTTTTGCATTTCTATCTTTTTGCGATTATTTGCTGTTATTCGACATGAAATAATGGCCACATGTTTGTTTGAAATTTTGGTGCCAATTTTTAGGTACTTTGTTGCTTTCAGGGTTTGTCTTTTCTATCTTTCGTTGACTCTTCTATGAAGTGATGCGGTGAGTTTCTTTCATTTTGATCTTCTTATTGCAGATTGAACAGTACAAATCAGAGATTAAGAGACTTCAGGCATCTGAGGCAGAAATTAAAGCACTGTCTGTTAATTATGCATCTTTGCTAAAAGAAAAAGAGGTAGAGCAATTACTTATTCCAGATCACTGTTACTGTTTTTGTGTGATTTGGCTTTTGATATCCTGACAAATGTAGCCTTGGGTCTGTTCAAATAAAGTGAACTCTGCTGGAATGCATCGTTGGAGGAATAAGTATTGCTATTATTTTCGGCTTTGGTGTTTTAAATGCGTCCATGGTCCTCCCTTGCCCAAATCATGAGTTTATTCGCTTGAAAACATTAGAGAATGATATGTCCCAAACATTTGGTTAACAATACAACAACTACAATAACAAGCCTTATCCTACCAAGTGAAGTTAATTTCATGGATCACACAATGCTATTAATATCCATGCATGGATAAACATTCGTTCAACAATATAATTATTGTTATTTCCTTATTGTCTTTTGCTGGTTTTTGATTATAATTAATATCTCTCACTATCCATTCATTTCAATTTAACAGGACCTAATTATTAGATTGAATAGAGAAAATGGCTCATTAAAGCAAAATTTGGAGACAACAAGTAAAGCTTTAAGTGTCTCCGGAAATGATAGTTCTGCAGCATCTTCAAAGGGCGCTGATCCAGTGAAGGTAGACTTCCATTCTGGTGCGAACATTGTTGTGGAGCGTTTAATATACTTTATACTATTTATACAACTTTTTTAAACCTGTAGTCTCGGTATTTTATGATGCATGCGTGAAATTTTAGATATTTGATGCACCCATTTTGAATGATATGATGCCTTATAACATTAAATTATCTCATATGGTTACAGTATTCAGGTTTTATTCTTTATGCGTTTCTTGAGTTTTGGAGATTAGCAGTCATGCCATGTCTTGTATTTTGAGATGGATTACTGCTTTATGGTAAACATTCTTCCTTTTTTAATATTTGGCAAAGGGTAGGAAGATTACATAGTCATGGTAAGAAGAAGCGTTATTGGGATTGGTATTGGTATTGGTGTGAGGTCAACACTATTTGTGGCCTTTGTCTACTTCAAATGCTACTGCAAGCTTTCTAAATAATTATTTGTTACAGTTTGAACTTCAAGGGAAATAACTTGTAGTCACAAGAGTTAAAAGAAATAGAGTGGTTTATGGTAGGATATGTGGTTGGACTTGGAAGTGTTTTGGTGTTCCAGAGGGTTTGTTGTTAATCTTGTGAAAGCATTTGGTTGTAAACTACTTAGTCTTTGCCAAATTATGTCAATCCTTGTTGATTACTTTGGAATACTTCTGCAGGGAAGTAGTGATCAAGTTTCCAATCGACAGCATAAGTTTGCATCTCATGGGAAAAATCGTCATGCTGGAAATTTAAAGCATAATGGCATTGTTTCAAGAAAGGATTCTATGAACAATGGAATCATTCCTGCTTTGGATTCTGATGCCATTCAAAATGAGATCGAACCTAATCATTCTGATTTTCGAAGAAAGGACAAGGTACTATGACCTTAGGTTTCTATTTATTCATAATTACACAACGTACATAAAAGATTAACTGAGGTGCTGTTAGTTATAAGCCTTGCCAAAGTTGACTTTTTTATAAAATAGCTTTTGTAGCTTACCTTTTCTCTCTCTCAAGTTCTTGACATGGACTTTTCCTTTTTTATTTTATTTTTAACCTAGGAGAATGGCTGTTCATCTTCATATGCAGATTCTCTTCTGTATGGTCATTTTCATTTATTTTGCTAGGTTTCTATATTTGTATTTTTATTTTTAGTAATGAGTGAACTTGACAACAGATGTATGAATGCCTTCTAGGAGGTTGCAGATTTGGTGGATGGAAGAAATAGCTCAACAGTAGCGGCGCAACATGCTTCTGAGGTTAGAAAATTGAAGACAGAACTGGAGCAAGAACGTGATAAATTGGCAAAAATTCAGCTACAATTCCAAGGTCTCTTTATTCTGCATTTGGAATATCTAGTCAAAATTTTGAATGTGTATTTAAAAGCATAATCGGTTTTTCTTCAATGACAGCGGAAGTGACATTAAACAAGTCCCTTCAGGAGGAGCTTAAAGTATTGAAGGTGGAAATGGACAAAGTGAGTTATGTCTCTGTCATATTTATATGTAGCATGAATGCGTGATCAATTAACTCTATCAAAGCTTCTTGTTCTTGAGATACTACACAGCTTATGCTTATCTTATTAAGATATCTTAATATTAACTTAAGGAGGGAAGTTGAGATAAAATTATAGATGCAAGTTATAAAATGATAGGTACAGCGTATTGTGCATTCTGTGATTTCACTTTCTGTTGTCATAGTTAAATTTTTCTCAGTGTCTTGGTGCTTTTAAACAGGTCTATCCTTACATATTATGACATAATGATAAAAAACAATAGATCAAAAGCAGTTTTATTTTGGAGAAGTTGTAGGTCCTTCTGGAATACCATTTCAAATTGTGGGTTTTTATTCATTTTATCAAGTATTATTATGCCTAGAGCGAGGTGTGAAGCCATAGCACCTGTCATATTATGAAAGGTGCTAGCTTTCGTCAGGCACCAAATGGCAGTTGCCCTTTGACGCCTTGGGCTCCTTTTGATAGGTATAAGGCGAGTGCCTTTGGGGCTTCTCTGATGTTGTCAGTTGATGGTTTGTTTTCTGAGGAATAACACTGCTGTACACTCCTGTTTTGCATTAAATGAGGACGATGCTGTTGATCCCTGTTAATACCTGTTTAGGTGTTTAGATAGAAAACTGTTTTATATCTAAAATATAAATCTAAGATAGGAAAGCTTTATAGTAGAATATAGGAAAATTTAAAATTTGAAATATTAGATAAGAGTTTTCTAGCATAAAAAGGAAGTTTTAAATTTAAAATATTGGATAAGATAGGATAGTTTGTATTTTAAATATCACATTAGATAATATTTTTTAAGATTTTTGCATTTTTGTAATGCAAGCAAACCAAGAGCCAGAGAAAAAGAGTTGGGACCACTAGAGTCAGCAATTATCAAGGCACAATTATCCATATCTTCTATTTATATGTCACACATTTTAAGAATATATATTATATTTGAAGGTTGTTTCAAACAAAAATTAAAAGTTTATCTACATTTTGTCGATTCATCGTTTTTTCCCTTATTGTTCTGCTTTGCTTTCTTGGACCAAGAACCTTTCTAGCAGTTTTCACTTCAGGCATTCTGCAGAACGTCTTTCCCCTTGGACTGCCTTGATTTTACTTGTAATAATAACTCATTCTAGACATGTAACCCTTTAGTTTCTTTCAAAATACCTTTACATGTTACTTGCCTTTCATCTAAGGGAATAAAGCTTATTGCTTCTGCAATTAACGTTGCCAATTTGAATTGAAATTATTGATAGCTTTCTCCACTGCCTCAAAATTCAAATTCTCCATCTAGCCTCTATCTGCAGATGTTGTTTTTGAATCTGAGGAAGGATAACTCGACCTATCCCCGGTTTATGTGAATGAGCTATATTGTAGAATCATTGATAGTTTTGCCATGCTTATATTTATGGTTTGATTTTCCTAGTTTTTGGTTGTCTAATACATGATAATTGTATTATTGCTTTAAGACATCAAAGGAGATGAACAAAATACATAATGAATTGAATGAGAAAGTATCAGAAATAAAACGTCTTCAAACGGAGTTGAGCAGACAAGAAGATGAAGATGCAGGTGCTGTGGATAGCTTGAAAAAATTAATCAAAAGCCTAGAGAAGGAAAACGCCACACTTAAGGTTGGGAGTTTTTTATGCTTTATTTCTATTACTGTAATTTTGCCATTGTATGTCATGCTTTTCGGACATGATCTATTATCCATTGTTACTAGGTGGACAAGAAGGAGCTTGAGGCTGAACTGGAAACAAGCAAGAAGTCTTCCACTGGTAAAATGTCAGCAGAAGCTTCTCAGAAGGATTCAAGGAATATGAGTGAGGTGGTCCTTTACTTCATAGCATTATTTACTTTACTGTTACTTGTTAAAATTGATGTTAACAACACATGCCTTTTGGCATATACTTTTTGGAACAGATGCCAGATTCTTCCAAAACTTTTCCGGAAAAGGAGGAAATGGAAAGATCCTTTCAAAAGCTAAGTAATGATTTGAAGGAAACCCAGCGTGAAAGGGACAAAGCATTACAGCAGTTGACCCGTCTTAAGCAGCATTTGTTGGAAAAGGTTTCCTTCTTTGTACTTTTTTTTGGTTCTGTTTTATTTTATTTTTGTATATTTTTCCCCTAAGGAAGAGTTAATTATGGCAGATTATAGACCAGCTGAGTAAAATTTATCTTGATACTGTCATTTTTACATATCTCTCAATATAGATGTAGTGTTTTTGTTCCAGTTGAACCTAAACCAGCTCGTATCTGCGTTAACAGACTAATAGACAGTTGTGTTTGTACAATTAGATAGAGCTAAAATCTTGTTGATTAGTGTTTGGAGAGTTGCTTTTTGTCAATTCCTGTTATCTCAATCTCACTGCGATCATGAATATGGCAATAAGAATGTTGAAATGTGCCTCTATTGATCTTAGTGATGACTCAACTGGGAATACTCAAATTCTAGATATTGGAGGGATGTATGGAATCGAAGACAATATGCCAGAAGGACCATCGAAGCTGGAATTTTAGATATAGCATGTGATTAGATTCCTATTAACCATGGAAAGATAAGTTAATCAGTTCTGTAATGCTAAATAGAGGGACGATTTAATATAATTGCAAGCCCTGTTGGTTTGATTCTGATATAATAGTTGGTTGAGTTTTTTTTTTTTTTTTGTTCAATAATGTTGTATTGACCTACTTCATTTCTTTGCTATGCTCTTGACCTCAAAATTTGCCATTTACAAGCTTCCTTTCTCAGACTACTATGTACCGCTTCTATAATATATTATCCCCTTACATATGATGATCTTAGAAGAGTTAAGTTTGCATAATTTCGTATTGGATTCAGTATATTAACCTGTTTGAAGATAGACATAAGGAGGATTTCCTTGTTGGTTGCTGCTCTCCAGGAATCTGAAGATTCACAAAAGATGGATGAGGATAGCAAAATCATTGAAGAACTACGTGAAAGCAATACCTCTCTAAGGGCTCAAATTTCTCATCTTGAAAAGAGTCTAAAACAGGCAATTGAAAGTCATGAGGAACTGAAGATGGCAAATAGCAGTGAAGTTTTTAAGTCCAGGGAAATCATTGATGATCTGAACAAGAAGCTTGCAAACTGTACAAGCATAATAGATGCCAAGAATATTGAGCTTTTAAATCTACAGACAGCTCTTGGGCAGTATTATGCTGAAATTGAAGCCAAGGTATTGAAACTTGACAGTTATTCTGTTAGTTGACATATTTTAGTTGTGTTATTGATGCTTTCGCCTCATTATTGTGCCAAAGCTTGTGTGCTTCTGTGCATAGTTGCATGGGGTATCTGACATCTACATTTTTGTTTGTTTAGGAACATTTGGAAGAAGAGTTGGCTCATGCGAGAGAAGAATCAGTTAGACTTTCTCAACAATTGAAAGTATGACTTTCTTATTATTTTGAAATGTGATCTATAATCAGCTTCACTTTATTTAATTTTGTTAGGTTAACACCACAGCCTTTACACTGAATTTATATTGGGAATCGTGGGGTAAGAGGGCTGTTTCGTTCACACATATGTGCTGAACTTGTGCGTTTTATTTTATTTTTATTTCTTATCTAGTTATTAATTTTGGAACTTTATCTTTATCATGTATTCTTGTGTTACTATTGTTACTTGGCTGTTAGGACTCCAAAACAGCCATTCTTGTGTTTCCTGATGCTTCCATGAATGGGTGGTTTGGGAAAAAAAAATGGTTGATTTTTGTAGATGGCAACATCACAGGCAGTGTAGAATGTGTTGCGTGAGGTAGGATTATGGCATTTGTATTTCTTTTGTGTGGGTGAGTAACCAAAAGAAATGCATCTGGTAGGTCGAGGATCAAGCTTCCCCCCATGGTAGCTTTGCATGGGCACAAATGCTGTGAATCGAAAAACTTTGAACTAATTCATTATTGCTTAGCTACCAGGATAGCTCGACAGGGTTGTGGTTATCATTCTCTCTTATCCTCTTGAAAATTCTTCTCAAGCATATTAGCGGATTGATATATTTGTTTTTACTACAACTGATAGGGAAATATTGATGAAGTTTCTAGTTCCATAATATATTTGCTCATGCTATTGACAGGATGCCGATCAGAGAGCAGAAGTGTTGAAGGGTGAAAGGGATGAAATTTTGGCCAAGCTTTCACAATCTGAGAAAGCTCAATCAGAATGGAGAAGTAGACTAAGCAAGCTTGAAGAAGACAATGCCAAACTGAGGCGAGCTCTTGAGCAGAGCATGACACGGCTAAACAGAATGTCAGTGGATTCAGATTTTCTTGTTGACAGGTTAGCCTGTTTGTGGGTTTGAATTACATGCATATCAGGTTGACTATGATTTGGTTTTCGTGCATATTTATAGTTGATTGTTTTACACAAAACAAATTTATGCAAGGGTATTTATCTTCAAATTTGTACATTGATCTTTTATTTCACGAGAAGGTTCTGATGAATGTTACTCCGTTTATATGTCATCTGTGACAAAAGCTGAATTTAACTCTTGCACTGTGTATGATAGCAGTGGGGTTACAGAATGCAAATAAGGAACCGGGTAAGAATAAGATGAAGGAATTTAGCCATCTAGGTTTTAGTCTATCTACAAACAGCCTAATTCCCCTTTCTAATACAACACCTTTTTAGAACACATGGATGGTTATCTCATGCTTTTTCTAGCTGGGACTCACCAAAATTTTTATGTGCCACTCCTCAACATACTCATCATGTTTTCTCATGTCGTCCTCTTTCTTCATTTGCATTTGAGCAATCTCTGAATTACTCATCGTTAGGACCCACTTAAGTCTCAAAACCCAAACATCTATAAACAGAAAGCAAACAAACCGGGGAACATTGTTACTGTTCCACTTTAACAAATATTACGCTATATCAGCTTACAAGAGCCAGCCCATAACCCAACACCCATATTACACCCAAATTACAGATAAACAAACAAAGATTGACGCAAAGGTCATGTATATATATCTCTGCTACATAATATTGAACCACACAAATACGGAAATGATGCTGACAAAGAGAAAACACAGATTACAGATTCAAAACACTGGCAAGCAGGAGAAACTGAAGGACCTGAGATTTACTAAATAAAAGCACACTTACAACGGACCAGAACTAGGACCTCATGAACCTGACAGTTCTGCCCAGTTTCAAGAGGGTTGGCTCAAAGTTCTTTGCCTTTCATGCTCTCAGATACTCTCTTTATGCACTCGCTTTCAGCTTTTTAACTCTTCCCTCCTGCCCTTCATCATTATTCCCTTCTTTTTCACTTTTCTTTCTTTTTTGTATATTAACTTCCATGTTTTCTTCTGGACCAATAGTCACCCAATTTTCCGCTATTTTGCCACCCCCACCCATGTCTCCTTACGTGTATTTTGGTGGCACTAGTGCGTTGGGATCTCAGTCTTGGTTTCAGCCTAAGTGCCATCTCTGTTCTCCGGTCTGTTCACCTTCTCCATGCCTGAATGATCTGATGGGCGCATAAACAGTGGGCCAACTTTGAATCATATGGCCCCCCCTAGATTTAATTATGCCATGCTACGTTTATTCTCTATTTTTCTCCCATGGAGCCACCTCGCCAGTGTTTTCTCTACTACATAAGTTGGCACTTGTGTTCTTACTGCACCTATCAAGTTCGTCACTGAAGTCCTCTAGATATGAATTTAGACTTCTAATTTGTAGTTGAGCTGCTGCTGCTTTTTTTTTTTTGGATGCAAGTAGTTGAGCTTCTTCTATTTGTGGGTGATTGTCATACTAATTTGAATTATATTGTTGCCAGGCGCATTGTCATAAAGTTACTTGTAACTTATTTCCAGAGGAATCACAGCAAAGAGGTATGTATCACAGTTTCTTTTTATGCATTGTGGAACTGGAAGGATGGGAAGGGAACCCACGTTTCTCATTACCCCTCCATTAATAGCATGTAGGTGATCTAGAAATACTACCTCCAGTCCTTAGTGTAAAAGATAGTTGACTAATTTGAGTAAATTAAGAAACTAGTTAAGTTAGTTATTTGTAATAAATAAGTGTTGTTTTTCCTAAGATATCTTTGTTCATCAAGTGTATTTACTAGACTACCATTATTATAAGGACTATCTTGAAAAAAAATAGGTAAATATGAGAGATAAAGTAGATTGGGGTCTTATATTTAGGACTAAAATAAAAATCAAATGAGTTTTTATATTAAGGATCGGAGGTATTAATAAATAATTGAATCAAGCTGTTAATAACCGTTAAGGGCAGGTAAGAAGCCATGGACTATGAATAAAGTCCCTAAGGCCATCGTATTTTACTGTTGTTAATGAGATAGAAAAGAGAGATAGGGATGGAGGAATAGACTTAACAGCTATTAACAGCTTTATCTATTTATTATCTCTATATCCGAGGGTGACCATTTAGTGACTTGTATTTTGTGCTCCGTATTTCTGAGTTACTTCGTATAAAAAATTTAAAAAATACATCCCTGCATTCTTAAAGTCAAGATTTCCACTCCTACATCAATCGTCCAGTTCCCCAATGCGTACAGTTCTTTGCAAACAGTTTTAGTTTCTCCGTCAAATTATACACTTGGCTGTGTTGTTATTTACTTATTTGACTATCATGTCATGTTATTAGTGGAGAATCACGTGTTTGTCATATTTTGATTGGAAAATCTGATGGTATATAAGGAACCTGATATAGGTTTCGTCCTTATAGTGACTAGCATTCTATCCAATTCTATTCTTATGTAGTTAGATGCAGGAGGCCCAATTCTAGGGAGAAAAGAAATAGGTAAATAGGCCTTGAGATTGGCGCATTAATTGTAGAGTTGGTTGATGTGTTGGGAACCTGACCTTTTGTTTTACTTAATGATGAAAATTATTATTTTCTGTTCCCTTCTGCTACTGTTGCTACTTCTGTTCTTATATCTACGGTCTCTATAAAGTCATGTTTACATTATTTTTTCACGATTGTGATGCGCTGGGGACAGGTTTTGGATCTCATGGTTCGGATGCTAGGATTCTCTGATGAGGACAAGCAAAGGATAGGTGTTGCTCAACAGGGTGCTGGTAAAGGTGTCGTCCGTGGAGTTCTTGGGTTACCTGGGCGCCTGGTTGGAGGTATCTTGTCTGGTAGTCCTACTGAAGGAGCTGCAAATGTGGGATCTGAAAACCAGGTGAGTTTCTTGTGGTCCGTTATGTTTTTTCCTTTCAGTACCATAATTGCTTAAATTCCGTGCACTTACACCCCGTTTGGTTAGCCAAGGGGAAAGGCATCTCCTTTCTCCAAAACAAAAATCAAGACATGTAACATTTAATTACATCATTTTTACCACTACTAAGGGTGCAGTTGACCCAAACATCGCATCATAACCCTTCATGCCAAGGGTGTGCTTTGGGCAATAAATTACCATAATGCATGATTGGTTATTATCTAATTGCATTTGCCACCTATCGTCTTTTCCATTAATTGTCATTTGCCCCACCTCTTCCCCTTATAGTGTACGAAACTTTAGAGGAAGAGATTCGGTCATGTGAATTCATGTGAGTTTGGTTAAGATACATGTTCTTTCTACTGGGGTTTAACAAGTGGGGAAGTGAAGAACCAAACTGTTGCCTGCCTGTGATTTGACTTTGCCCTTCTCACGAATGTCAGTCGTATGACTAAATCTAAATGTGACTTTAGTTTTTCATATATTTGTTTTGATGTCAAGTTTTTGTTCTGTATCTTCTGTTTAGCTCTAAGTACTTTTCCACTTCTTTCAGTCATTTGCAGATATGTGGGTTGATTTTCTGCTCAAGGAAACAGAAGAAAGAGAGAAGAGGGATTCAGGGGGAAATAGTAGTGCAGGCAAACCCACAGAAGGCTCACATGGAAGTCCAAATGCTACTGTACCACCATTTTCAAATCAGAGGTTGACCACTGGAACAGCATCTGCTTCATCAATTAATTCATCCCCGAACCATAATTACAGCCCTCCGCGACACGGATATTTCCCGCGCTCTGAACGTCTTAGCTCTGAGTTTTCAACAGTCCCTCTTACACCATCAGATAGCAGTTCTACAAGGTACTGAGTATTATACATTGGACTATGCAATTGGTAGAAAGTGTAGATCATTGTTTGTTAGTGGCAATGCAATCTGGTTCAATTTATTCTTTCACATTCAAAATGTCTCTCCTCTCTTTTCAATGAGTGAAAGGTATTCTCCATCATCTTGGGCTTTTGTGGATTATTTCATACAATAAAGAGTTCCGAAAATCTTATTGATGTACCAAGCATATGCAATGCTGTCTCACCATTTAAATGTATATATTACGGAGTTTGCCAGAATGATATAAAGTGATATGATAATCGTTTGTGTGATGGGTCATTATTGGCTTCAAAAATACTGTCATGTGGCTACATTTGCCCTGCAATATACTTTCTTTTTCCTTCCCTTTAAAAATGAAATGGATGGATAGCACGTCCAATACTCTCTTAGATATCATTGGCCCATCTTGGAAGTAATTGTTTACCCCCAACATTCACAGTCCAATCCCATGATAATGTGTACGGTTGCTTATTTTATTTTATTTTTTTTATATGTGAATATAACATTCTCCCACGTATTTTAAATTACATTGTTATTTTAGCGGCCAAAAAATAGAGTGCAATATTAAGTTGCCCGAAAATCGGAACTAGTATATACTTATTTTGATTAAAATATTATATATGTTATTTAATGCTAATAAAACAAGCAGTGTGGGTATATTCATATTCTCGAAAAATACTTTGGTTATACTCCTCCGGTCTTTAATATAGAACTCAATTGTTGAGTTAATCTTGATCCTAAATATAAGACTCATTTATCATATTTATCGATTTTTTCTAAATTACTCTTATGGATACTCTCTCAACCATAATCAAGTAGAAAAGAGAGGGGTATTAAGAAAGATGATTATGGTGTTTTAGGAAAAATGTGTTACTTTTTTTATAATTAACTAACTTACCTAACTTCTTTAATCTAATCAAATTAGTTAAATGAGTCTTATATTAAGAACAGGAGGAGTAGGTTATAATCAGGATATTTCTATTCATTTTGATTTGATAATAAAGAGAATGCTGTGTGATTTAGACATCTATCGGTGGAGAAATGTATAATTGTCTTCAATGACTTTTATCCGTGATATCATAAAATTTATATAATTATTTTTTGGCAGAGTTTAGGTGATTTAAGTATGAGGGCTTACTATTAGATGTTTATGAAAATATGTACACACGTTTATAAAAATATTTACACGATGTCAAAATATTTAGTAATGTAACTTGTACACACGCCCTTATATAAGATGTATCATTACTGACTCTGCGCATATTTTCTATTTTTGTAGTCAGTATTTGAACACATGCAAGTCCAATAATTTCAAGATGTGAAAAACAATACTGCCTTTGGTGTTTAATATAAAAACGAATTCGATATTTAATTTAGTTCTAAATAAAAGATCTCAATTCATTTTATTTTACATATTCATTTATTTTTCTCAAAGTGACCCTTATTATAGTTGCACATATCAAAGGTTTCATCGAATAGTAATTTTAAACAATATACATGAAAATAAGAATGTTAGTTAAATTAGTTAATATGATATTTATTTCCTAAAATAACCTAAGCACTTCCTTAACTCTTTTCCTCCTACTCCTACTTGATTATTATTGGAAGAATATCAAGAGAGTTAGTTTAGAAAAAAATTGATAAACATATAAAATAAGTCTTATATATAAAATCAATATTAACTCTTCAATTAGATCCTACATTAAAAACTAGAGAAATAACAATAACTAAACTAATTTTTTTAAATTAAGCAACTAGATCTTAATAAGTACTGAAAGAGGTACCAGTTGACACGAATTTTTCAGTTAACATTATGATCAACTTGGCCACCTTTAGTTTGTCCGAAAAATAGTATTTACACACACACACACACATATATGTATATAGGCATATATATCGCACAACGTAATATCCAACACGGTCCGCAAAAATTAATGGGGAAAAACACTATTGACATCTCTTTCATTTAACACAAAACATAACACAAGTTCTACAGTATTGAAATTAAAGCTAAACTTGTCTTCAACATCAACTTGAGGCACACGAATATTAGAACTAGGACTGAACTTGATTTTTTTTTTTTAAAAAAAAGGTGTTTGGCATTTGAGAAAGTGAGACAAACTCCTTTACATATTTACTTTGTATGTCATAAAATCACTTTTGAAACTATGGTTTAGATTTCATCCAAACACTCCCTGAAAAAATATATATTTACTGTGAAGTTTTTAATTAAGACATGAATTGTAAAGAAATAATCTCATGTCATTCTTATTAGAGAACTCGATTATTAGTAATCACTTGAAACTATACCTAAATTGAGGGGAGCAAAAAAGAACATCATATCATGCTGTGAGATTGTCAGAATGGTCTAGGAGGCTTCTCTAAGACAGCAGAAAAGAACGCTTCTTGATCACCTTTATCAATCTTTGGAACAACCACCCACTTGCGTCTCTTGTACCTCAGCATCTTGAAAGCTTCCAAGTAATCATCCAAATCCTCCTTCAAACAGAAGAAGCTGTCAATCCACAACAACCCACCAGGCCTCAGAACTCTATCCCAATCATACAGCACAAAATCCAGCAGCACAAAATCAATCCACCCGTCCAGAAACCTCGTCGTGTGGATCAAATCGAGGGTGTTATCAAAGAATGGAAGCCGCTGATTTATGGTTAAGTATAGAGGAACAAGTCCTCTGAGAGCTATCATTTCATTGAAGGGTGCTCCTAGGTTGATAGTTGCAGAAACTATAGTCACATTATATTCTTTCATTCTAGCAGCAAAAGTACCAGTTCCAACACTGAAGTCCAATCCTATTCTGATCTCTCCAGGCTTGATTTGAAGCACATCAGATATGAGGAAATCAGAAGTCTGATTTTCAGAACTGGGATCCAATGTTACCCATCTGGGCATTTCATGATGAGTGAGGTTGAAGCAATCTGAGCACTTGAAGAATCCCTTACGAGTGGTGTTCCCAGCGAGGCAAGTGAAGTTCTTGCACCGGTATTGACTCCACCGGACATTTCTGTCATCTGGAAGTTTCCAGATGGACTCGTTGATTGGCAATGGCTGCATATATAGCCGAGGTGCTCTTGCAAGGCATCTTCTTCTTGGGAGAGGATCACAGCCATGTACCATGAGCTTCTGAGCCAGTTTCCAGTCATCATTGCACATTTCACCAATGTCATAATCCATGTATTCCTCAAGCTCTTCCCTCATGGCAAAGCAAGCATGGCCAATACTAGTGAAGGTTCCATTAGCCCCCATGAAATTCTGTTTTCCCAACCTATTAGGCTTGATCTTCACATACTTGCGAATCTCCTCCCGGAAGAAGTAATCAGCCGGCTCATCAGGCTGTTTCTTTTCTTTCAAAAGTGGAAGAGAAGTTGTGGCACTGGTTTTATGCTGACCAATCCCTTTATAATCTGAAAGAGATGCTTCCATGGATTCCAGGAGTCCTAAAATGTCAGCAAGAAAGACACTCATTTCCATCACAGAAGCTGTATCTGACTCTGCATCTCTCAAGTTCTGCAACTCTTGTTGAATTTTCTGAATTACATTTTGAGCCGTTATAATCACACTATTTCGAATTTCCTTTGGCTCCTCAGGATTCAAGTGGTTGCATAGAGATTCAGTGTCAAGAAAGGATTTAGAGATAAAGAATTTAGACAAGGTAGCAACAGAGAGAAGAGCAAGAGCACCCAATACAAAGATTGTGCAGTAAGCCCTTCTCCATATTGCAAATTTAGGAGTACCATTCAGTTTTGGCATTTCTGTATTTTCTGAACTGAGGATATTGAGTGCTTTCATATATCCTCAAACCAAAAACATCAGGACAAAAAGAGAAAGGGGGGCAAAAAAAAAAACCCACACAAACATAATCTGTTTCAGACTAAGAAATAACCTGACATTTGCAGCTCAAGGGAAACATGTTCATAGAGCCACAGCATGAGAACTGAAACAGTGATAAGAACTGGAAAGCTAATCATGGAGATATGGGGTAATCGTTTATTTGGAAAGAAAATTGGTGATCAAAAATATGAATAGGTGGATCTAGAAGATCTCTTGACATAATATGGAGTTGGAAATTGACCTAACGGATTATTCAAGCATTCTATAGCGCTAGCTTAGCAAATACTTAAAGTCAATCACAAAAAGAGAGCAAGTCAACGCGTGGATCTTAAATTCAGGTATTCACAACTTGCTAAAAGATAAACGGTTTATTATTACAGATCTAAAGGAGAGCTAATAGCAGAAAACACGATAAAGCAACCATAGAATTCACTATTTGGTCAAGTAACTTAATTTTCTAGCATCAGCATATAATATTTGGTCAACAAGGCTTTTCACATGTTTAAGTCTTCCATTCACTTGTGACACTGCTCTAACTCCAAGATTGAACCACATGCATCATACAGACAAACTTGTCAGCAAAATCGTGTAGTTGCTTCAAAAATGAAACTGCCTCATATTAAACAAAAGTAACGTTTCAAGTTCACATGGTCAGTTTTTTTAGGGGAAAAAAAAATTTCTTGACCTGGCTCCATGTTATCAGGCTATCAGTTTCAATTTCATTGACCTGCTTGAAGACTTTGAATACATTTAACAGTTCTATTATAAAAATAATGAGAAAAATTAGAAAAGAAAATCTATCAATATCTATCTACGTATCAACAAGAATTTTGGCAAGCCATATTGTTCACAAGTGATAATAAAAAAGAACAGATAGCTTGCTCTAGGACTCCGTGCAGGGACTAGAAGCCAATGTGTATATAATAATTACATGGACAAAACGGACTTCAAAATAAAAGGAAAAAGAGCATAGAATCTCTAAACCTCTAAAATACAAAAGGGTCCTAGTGACAAGCATTATGGGAGACAGGAACAGAAGCCATTGTCCCAATACAAGGGACCAAATCCTAGCTGTCTACAATGAGGACAACTAAGTGGAGCCATGAATGTTAAAAAAAGGCAAGCAAAAGCAAAAATCTCTTTTTCCCTGAGTAGAGGGGAAAGTGCAAAGAATGAAGTTGAAGATGAATACTAAATTACAAATCAACAACGATGTTCAACTAGAAGTCAAATTGATGCAGACTTTGGTAGGTAACCAGTCAACGAAGGAAGAAAACAAAAAGGTAACCAACGGGAAATCAACATCAACAACCTTAATGCAGAGATAGCAATCCACCATAAGGATTATAGAGAATGATGCCTTGTCAAACATTCATTTCTGGGCAGCGACACAAAATTTTATACAGAGAGAATTGAGGAACAAACCCATTGAGGCTAATTCATGTGAAACGCAAACTCAAACAGCTAGGATAAAGCATCAGTTAATTTCTCATTTCAATATTTTAATCCAACAAAATGATACTTTAACTGTGAGTACCACTACTTCTACGCCTTCACTCTCTTCTTCTATTTTCTTCTCTTCCGAATGAAGAAAAGAAAATACCCAATTTAAAAAAAAAAAAAAGGCAAAAACTTGATCATCTTCAATAACCCAGAAGATTTACATTCTTGAGAAGCGAACCCAGAAGAGTCCAAGAAGGAAAATGGTCACCTCCGTCGCCTCCGGTCAGCCGGGTACTGAGAGAGCGGCACCACTTCTTGCAGAGGCGTCGAAATCGGCGTCATGAGCGGCGAGTTCCGACAAACAGGGCACGACCCATTTAGTTTAAGCCAAGCGTCAAGGCACAAGAGGTGGAAATAATGGCGACACTCCGGCATCATCCTCAGCATCTCCGAATCCCTATACTCACACAAACAGATCGAACACATCGTACTGCTTCCAACACCCATAGCACCCCTACTGTACTGGAACCTGGGGTACGAGTTTATAACGTTCTCGTCGAGCCCCACGACGGAGCTCTCGTTATCATCCTCCTCCTCCGCCACAAAAATCACCCGAGGCAGAACAATACCCTCGGATTCCACATTCGCCCCAGATGGGTTCATATTCGGATTCGGGTTCGAATGCGAAGTGGGGTTGGGGTTGCGGTTGCGGCAACAGAGGTAGAAAGAGAGAATGAGCGTAGAGGCAAGAACGAGGAAGGCGAGGGCGATGGCAATGGAATAGCCGAAGCCAATGTTGATGAAGAGGGACATGGGGGCAAAAGGGAAGCAAAAGACAAATAAGAAGAAGAACCAGAAGAACCAAGTGAGATTTTGAAAGTGTCCATTTGACGGAGAAGGTGAAGAAGAAGTAAGAGGAGAGGGAGAAGGGGAATGAGGAGGAAATTGGGGAGAGATTTTGGAGGGCAAAGGGTGGGTGGGAATCTCAGCTGCTGCATTAAATTCTGGGGGTTTTTTTGTTATTGAATTTGGAGGGATTGGAATATTACTGTCTCTCCCCCCCCCCCCTCTCGAGCGCATTTAATTCAAAAGGAGAGAGAAGAGAGCGAAAGAAAAAAGAGAAGAAGAAGAACAGTAGTGCCAGAAAGTTGGGCTGCTTTGGCCATGCCTCGCTCTGCCTTGCTTGCACCAACGATGCTTCTTGGGGATGTGCGAGACGAGAACTTTCAAGTTTGAAGTTTGAGGTTTGAAGTACTCGAGGCAATCACACACTCTCTTCCCCCGTGGAATCAACGAACTGCTATCCGCCTCTGGCTTTGTGACTTTTTGTTTAGGTGAAGAAATTTTAGGCAAAATCATTAATATAATTTTCTCACTTTCCCCTCTAATAAATATATGAGAAAAATAAAAGATAATAAAAATATAATATTAAAGACAATTTTATTATTTTTATAAGTAAAATAGGAAAATTCTACCGTCTTAGAACAAATTTAATGACTATCTTAATTGTTTAAGAACAATCTGCCTTATTAAAATATTAATGATGGAATTTGAATCCATATCTATGAACTTGATCTTCATAGTAGCACCAAGAACAGAATGTTCTTATGCACTCACAATCCTTCAAACTTGCTGTGCCAAAAGAGAGAAATTAATTTGCCCTAATATCTCTTCCCTCACTGGGGTAAAAAAGTCATTCCCGTTTGAGAGGTGAATTTTCTTTTGATCACCTGAAAAACCCTAAGGTCCCGTTTGTATGAAGCATTGAAAATGAGGGATTGGGATTGGGATTGCAATTGAAAAAAATCATTAAAATAATCTTAGCATGAGTAATTGTTTGTTATATGGGATTAGACAAACTCATAAAGTGGGATTGGAGAATACCACTTCCCCCCATGGTATTCTCCAATCCCACATACATGACTTTGGCTAATCCCAATATCAAACATTTCTTATACTAAACACTCTCTTAATAGATTTTTTCAATTGTAATCTCAATCTCAATCCCTCATTTTCAATGCTCCCTACCAAACGTAACCTAAAAGAAATAAAGGTAGGCAGAATCAACAAGGTTGCGATACTTTTGAGGGAGCTTGAAACGTTAAAGTTGATAAATATTGGCTGAAAATAAGACAAATGTGATGAGAGTGAGTCTCGAAACGTGAGATAACAATCTGCCTTTCCATGAGGAAATTCGATGCCTCACAATAATGATGAGGCCTTGATACAGGAGACACTTATTTCTTCTCTTATCCGCCCAAGTGTCCAAGTATTTCGGCAAGAGAGTTCCTTTTTTTCCCCCTTGGTGGTACAAATTTTAGGACCATAACTTAAACTGGGATGGGAGAAGCTCCACATGAGTCATCACATGTTACGAGTTGAGTCTTGGCTTTGAATATGCCTTTTTAAATACTGCGACGATCTCAGAAATCAAATCATTTCATTTGGTGAGAGTGTCTGACCCTTTGACCACTAAACCCACAGTACGATGGGTGACAAAGAGTTTCTTTTGGAAGAAGAAACATGGACATTTTATGTTTTAAATCAAGAAACTTTTCTGAATGACACCTTATAATAATAAGCAGGGATGATAAAACCTGACAGAATGATTTGCGAGAATAATTGTGAAAGATTGAACGATGTTTTAGAGAATGAATGTTCTGATTATAATTTTAATTTACAATGTGAGATGCTAGAAATGAAGTAGTTCACAAGGGAACTTAGAAAATCAGTGAAATGGCTTAATTAGGAACCAAGGGCGACAACTTGGAGATTAATAAAGGGTGGTAGCTTTTACAGTTTTGCGGAATTTATCATTAGAGGACACTAATCAAGATGATAATCAACGTGGTAACATGAATGTTTGAACCAAAAATGTTAAATAAATAGATACATAAATCATAAACAATGCAATTGGTTTAGATAAGATTTTCTTAAGCATGAAATTGTGAGTTCAAATCCTATATAGAGGTCATAATAAGTTCATGGATTATGGATTGTGGGGAAAAAAAGGTATACGCGTAAAATTTCATATAATTAAGATATGTTTTTAGAGGTTCAATAATATTTTTAACATATTTAATTAATGAAACTTAAAGCGTTCCATGGATGCATATTTGTGGCCAAATTTGCCTCAAGACTGATTAAGGGGAGACTGATAAAAAATTAGAAGCAGAAGCCATGTCATTATCCTAGGAGGGTAGACTTAATTACATGCCCATATTTAAAGTTTGTGCTTTAGCTCTTTCGGTGGTTTATCCAATGTCCCTTTTCTTAATGCCTAAATGGTTAATATCATGAGCTGGAAATTCTAATGGCTACTTTCTTTTGGGCCTTTAATGGTAATTTGGGAAAAAAAATTAGAATGTTGCATCTTTTGAGATGATGGGATGATTTGTGCTTGGCTAAATCTCAAGAAGGCATATGAAGGTTGGAATTTTTTTCATAGACAGGACAAGCTCTCCTTATGGCTACTACACACGCTTGGAGGCTAATTTTTGGTAACGAGGATTAAATTTTAGGTAAAGTAGAATCTAACACTCTTATCTTATTTTTCAAGTGTATCCAATACCTTGATGTTATTTTTTATGCATCTTATACCCTAATCTTATTTATAGCACATCTAACACCTACATCATAAACAAGTAGGGTTTTGACTACACCAGAAAATAACATCATGGTGTTAAATGGACTAGAAAAATAATATTGTGCTACTGAATGCACTTGAAGAATAATATCAGAGTGTTGGATGTTACTTTACTCATAAATATTTGTGTCAATTCTTAGAGGTCAAGTTTTATGTTTTTTCCCATCTTAAATGTAGGAGTTGGGTAAACTAATTTACATAATGCATGTTGGTTTTCCTAACATAATCATATATAAAAACTATCCCAATTAGTTACGTCTATCTATGTGGACAATCAATAGAGATACTTCAACAAAAATAATAAATATTTTTTTGCATGATCTATTCTATCAGTTCTAAAGAAATTATCCAAATTCATTCATGATGCGGTCTGCAATATCCTACATTCATTAAGAATTGTTTTATGGCCTTGAGATATAGTAGTATTAATTATGAGTGATTAACTACTATTGGAAATATGGCGCATCTTGACGGTTAGAGGTTAGAATAGTTCTGCTATGAGGTTAATCTACAAGGCTAGCTTGGGGATTTAATAGGTTAAGATTGGGTCCAAAGAGGAAAAGTATGGGGTGATACGATTCGTAAACGTAATCATTTTATGTTTTTTTTTTTTTATTTTAGTTTGTCAAGTAGGTTTTTTAACAAAAGTTTATCCACACACAAAATTCATTAAACTGCAAAAGTCATTTAGAATAAAAGTAACTTTTGCCAATGCTAATCCAAATAAACTCTTATCATTTAAAACTTTAGATGAGATGGAATTGATTTTTGAAATCTCACCTTATATAAATTTAATTTGAGTTATCATAATTTACCCAAGGTTCTTACTTCTAAAATACGTTTCTTTCGGAGTAATTGGTGAAATTGCTCTAGACTCATTGATTTGGTATTTGATCCATAGTTGGTTTTTTTTTTTTTTACTACTCATAGATATCCTTCTATTGAAAACAATCATATTCAAGATACTATCGGGTAACTCTTTTAGTGGGGATTCAAACTTTAATTCATCACATTATGAAGGACTAGTCCTTTCTACTGGACTCAACTCTCATCGGTTTCTTAATTGGTACTTGATCCTTAGTTGACTTTTCTATGGTATTTCCCATTTTTGGGCGGTGGCACTCTAAAAGTTTTTCTTTGGTTCTCTTATTTCTTTTATTTCACATAATTTTATTGTTATGCATAAGTATTCTCTTATTGAAGGTCTGAGACACTGTCATACACTAAGTGTGGGCACTTTTCTCAATAGAAATTTGAATATTAGTTTGTCATATTATAAGAAACTAGCTCACTCCAATAAACCCAACTCTCATTGGTTTCTTTATATAATTTAGATACATATACAAACACAAATCTGTCAATGCTGGGCTTAAACCTAAGACCTCATCCAAATATAACAGGTAACTTAACATCAGCGTTTTTGGAGTGTTGAGGTAATTGGGTTTTTACCCACAATTTCTCTTAGGGGATATTTTGGATAAGAACAAAACTATAATTTCAAAAGTGCTTTTAAGGTATATGAAGTAAATATATTTCTAAAAAGTGATTATGGGGTTATCCAAACACCCCTTCTTTGCATGATGATCATGATTTGAAATGGTTTGTTATGATAATGAGAATTGGAATCCAAATATCAATTTGGAACTTGATACTAAGTCTCAAATAGAATTGTGGAACACCGAATGATGCATACTACAGTTTTGCTAGACTATATATATGGCTCTTTAGTCTTTGGTACCATATGGTATTACATTAAATTATAGTCACAATGACTATAAAATTTGCAAGGCAAATCCTCAAATCTAATTATAGAAAGAAAATGGTCCACTAGGTCGTTTCACTAAAGCATGGGTGAATCATGGAAGATGGAGCTATGAGTCTGAGATTATGGTTTGGTACGTTATAAATTTAGTTACGCATAGCTCTTGTTTCTTCTCTTTTAAGTAAAGAGAAAAGAAAAGGCTTATTAAATAAAAAGAATAATTAATAATTGGAATGTTGGATCATACCTCATCCACCTTTGGCGGATCAGCCAGGCCCATAAAATTTGGGGTCTGATTATAATTAAATAAAAGCTTAGGGTCAATGGTATAAATTACCCCTTTATGTCTTTACTACAAATTCTCTTCTTCTTTCTCGGTGCATTGCTGTATAAGCAAAATTCCGACTCCCTCTGTGATCGAATTGTACGAGGGCATATAAGGTTACTAATGCTTTCAGGTACGCTCCAAAAACTCCCATGGAATAATCTCCTTCGAAATTTTGCATTTCCTTTTTTTTTCTCACAAGAAGATATTTTTCCTTATATATATATATATATATATATATATCTATTCTCATCGGAGAATGTATGAGGGATAATAACCTGAAACTTTCTTGGAAATAAAGTGCTCTACTTAAAATAATGGTGTGAAAAAACTGTGGAGGAAGTTGGGGGAGAATTTTTTTTTTTTAAAAAAAAGTTGTGCAGAATTTGAAAGAAAATGCACTATTCATAACCTATGGATAGTACAAACATCTTATAATTTTTATATTTTATATTAATATTGATATTGATTTAACTTTATACAAAGAAATATTTATCATATTTGGGCATGATGAGTTGGAGAAGCTTGGGCTAATTTCCTAAGGTTTTCAATGATCATAACCAGTTTTGTGTGAGTCGATTCACAAAGCACTTGGGCAGCCATCCTGCTGGATCCAACTGAAACAACACAAACCAAATTTGGAAAAAAATTAGTGAAAAATGAAGTTGATCCAAATATTGATCCAATTTTTCAACCAAAAAAAAACTATGATCTAATTTTAAAAAATATTTTTCATATTATTTATTATTTTCTTTTGCAACACATAGCTATTTTCCTATTAAATGTAGTCCTGTTTGAGCTAATATAACAATATTTATGGACACTTCTCATAACAGAATTTAAAATATGATTCGTCACATGCATATAATTGGGAATAGGTACGTTTGGCAATGGGTCAACCCAGTCCATGATCCACCATATTCGGGTTCTCCCCCAACAAAAAAAAAAATCCAACCTTCTTTTTTGTGGTTAACTGAACCAGTCTACCAAAGTTTAACCCATTTTAATACAAAAAAAATCCACATGTAAGTTACTATAATATTACCTGATTTTTAATAACATCTCTATAGTTTTTTTTTTCACCTATTTACCATATTCTTATCATTTCACTTGTGTTTAATTAAATCCCTACAATTTGTTTTATCAATCCTTATGGTTTTCACTAACTTTAATCAGGTTCTTATAATTTTTTTAGTAACGATTTGATTAAAAGTAAGGTAAAACTATAAGGATTTAGAAAATAATTTTTCCTTCATAACATTAATAGAAAAAGAAATAACATGAAATTGAGATACCTGAACAACATAAGTGACAACACAAGAATCATCTTCAAGCTTCTCCACAACCCATCCTGACTGCAACAGTAATCCTCTAATTGCATTGCTTTGCTTTGGATGCAACCCTGCTGCTATCTCCTTTGGTAGTGATGCTACTGCCACTACCTATAATAGTTCATTCCCATTTCAATTCATCTTTTTTTTAAAAAAAAATTGCACTAATAATGGCATCAAGAAAATATTATCTTAAATTTTATGTATTGGTTCAATCACAATAAAATTATGTTTAAAATTGATCCTAACTAATTAATTTTATTATGTTCATTCTAATTTTAACACATTTGCAATTTGAGTCATATGAAGCTATTTCAAGTTATAACAGTGAGATGAGACGTGGATAGAAGTTGAGAATTAACTGAAAGTTTTGTATACACGTGATCATCCAAGGTATTTTCGTCGGTCCGTCCAAAGACACTAAAAGAGACTTTATAAGTTTTTATCATTTTAGCATTTGTGAATCCTAGGGCCAGGGTTTATATATTGTCATTTGCCCACAAAAGTTTCTTCTTTTCTGCTTTTAGCTTGGGGTCCTCTTTGATCCAATGGTATGCCCCACAACAATTTCATTTCAATCCTCTCTTTTATAAGGCACAAATAACATAATTTGGTTGAAATCGATTAAAGGCAATAAATATGGAAAAATAATAATAATAACCTAATGAAAGAGGGTAAGTGAGAGAATGAGCAAATGGAACATGGAGTAACCAATGTAGTGAGACTAAAGACAAAACAGAAATGAAACAAAAGATTTATTCTTTAAAAGCATTATCTTTATTTATAGGGATAAATGGGGTAGGAAAGAAATATTTTTGTATTGAAATCACTATATGCAATGTCTATCTCATGCAAATGTGACAAGTGATGTTGTTACTAGAGTGGTTTACTGATTTATCATTATCATTTTTATTGTATTATTTAAAGATAAGCAGGACATTTTATATTTATAAAATTAATTTTGTTTTTATTTTTTCCTCATTTTATTCTACCTTGGGTAACAAGTAACAACCGGATCCTATGTTTCATTGATAAAGATGGGCTGTCCGAGTAGGGTTGTGAAATGGCATCCCATGTAAAAAGAATAAACAAAAGGAAAAGTGAAAGGTGAAAGTTTAGGAAAAGCTAAAAGGGATATTTACATGTAACTTTAATGATTAATGGATATAATTATTTTTCATTAATTAATATCAAATTTATTTTATTAAAATTATATGGACTTATATTTATTTTTAAATCAACCGTAAATTTTTGGTAAAGTTTACATATACATATATATATATTCCTCTTAAGTCCTATCAACCAAAAGATAAACTCAAATTGTTAGCCAAAATTTTCTCATGTGATCACTAATGTTCACTAATTGATGACTAATGAATGTATTGATAAGGTAGATATCTATTTCCTAAAATGTTCCAAGTTTTTTTTCAAATAAATCTTATTTGATCACTAATTGATCCCTAATGAATGTATTAATGTACAAAACAGAAAACAAAGTGTTTAATACCATATTAAAATATGAAAAAGATATTTATTATCTATATACAAATAAGTTTTTTGAGAAAATTCTAAAAAAGTACCACTTAAATTTCAAAACCTCAAATCAAGAATTCCTACAAAATATGTTGTCATTTGATTTTCAAGTATAGTTAATTACTATTAAAGTATAGGAAACAAAACTAATTTGGGATTTTAAAATTCAAGTGGTTTTTTTTTTTTTGGTATTTGGAATTCAAATGGTATCTTTTTGGAGTTTTTCAATTTTTTTGTGACAGTTATTCTGAAACAGAAATTAATGAGAATGAAGAGGAAATTAATGTGAGGAAAAAGAAGAGAGAGAGAGAGAGAGAACTAACCAAGGTGCCATCTTCCATGGTTTCACGACGCTCATAAACAATGAATTCTCTATTGCGAAAGAGAGGCTTTGAGTTATCTCCAAATCTCAAACGAATTATGCTTAGATTGTCTTCCAAGTCTTTTATGTATCTTGCTTCCACCAGATCTGAGTCCCATTGCTGCATTTTCAATCACAAATTTTTCACAATCTCAATAAGCCATTCAAAATTATAAAAAAAGAAAAAAGAGAAAAATGATAGGAAAAATTAGTCCTCTCACTACTAAAAAAGAATGCTTTTAACGCCCCCAATCCACGTCGATTATTAAAAAAAAAACGCTGTAAAAAAATGATATCATTCTTATAAATAAATTGCATATATAATATCATTTTTAACTAAAAAGTCATCACCTCTAGTAAAAATAACATAGTAAACATTTGGACTGCTATGACGTTTATGAAGACGACGTAGTTCTTAAATTTTAATTTGGTATAATTTGATTTTTTTTGATTCAATTGTAACTCACTTTTTGAATTTTGATTTGATTATAACTTAATTATATAATATAACCATTTAAAACATTAATGATCATATTTTAGAAAATAAAATTATATATTTCATGAGGTTTGTGAGTTAAATTTTAATTGTTAAACCATGAGGATTGAATTGTAATGAGATAAAATTTAGGATGGAGTTTCAATTAAATCAAAATTATAGAGAGAAAATTGTTCTGCATCAAAATTAAAGGACTGAATTATAATCAACCAAAGTTATATGGAGAAAATATTAATTTTCCTAACAAAAATAATATTTTCTATATCACAATGGGACGAGAAGCATTTAACTCTTTATAACAAGAAACGGCACCGTATGGACATTAACATGGCCACAGACAAAAGCTTTCTTTTCAATTCGCTGGCTCGGAATCTACTCCGCTTTTGGAGTTTCCTATTTATTCTTTTTCACTTCTTTTTCTCTCAATTCGGCTTCTTTTGAATATTCAAAATTATTAATTTTTTTTGTGTTATCATCATCACCATCATATTTTCATTTTTTTATAAAAAATATTTTCAATGTTGATTTCTAAAATTAATACTATATTAATTTTTTTGGTTAGTAGATAATTTCAGTTGAATGCTTGTGAGGCCTTATATTATTTCTATCATGTGTACAGAATATTGAATGTTAATATAGTTTCTTCTGATGGAATTGCAGGCTCATCTACTTTACATGAAATTTGAAGCTAGTTAAAAATTTTTATCTATAAATATTATGCAATATATTTACTTTTGGTAAAGTAATTATTTATTCTTTACATAATATAATAAATCATATATAAGTTGATACTTCATGAGAATATATAGGTTTGATATGTGGTGGCACGCAAAAATTGGATTTGTTTGTCCATTTCTGTAAATGATATGTTACTTCTTGGTAGGGAAATTGTACAGGAACACCATTTTAGTTCTCTTTTTTTTTCCCAACCAAATTTTAAACATAGTTTT